GACACTTGGGGTCCGAAGCATAGAGTTCCTTGGCACTAAGCCAGAGAGGAAATATATTGTATTGGACACTTGGGGTCCAAAGCATAGAGTTCCTCGGCACTGAGCCAGAGAGGAAATATATTGTACTAGACACTTGGGGTCCGAAGTATAGAGTTCCTCGGCACTGAGCCAGAGAGGAAATATATTGTACCGGACACTTGGGGTCCGAAGCATAGAGTTCCTCGGCACTAAGCCAGAGAGGAAATATATTGTACCGGACACTTGGTGTCCGAAGCATAGAGCTCCTCGGCACTTAGCCGGATAGGAATTCAGTGACGTTGTCAGGTTCTTGGGATTCACAGTGGGTAATATCCTCAGCATCCTGCTTTAGAAGAATATAGTTGATGTCTTCAAATTCATAGGTCCGAAGGTTCAAAAGTGAGTGAAGGCCAAGGAAAAGGGTAGTAGTGACCTGGCCAGAATCTCAAATGCTTTGGACAAGACCCTTTATTTCATAGTCACTCCTTCCTTGGTGATTGCTTCTAACAAACTCTGCTTATATTAACTATCCCCACTTTTTATATTTATTCAATGTAGGAGGAAAGTAGAATTTATTTCACAACCATATAATCCGGGCTTTGTCAATAAAAAGAAAGAATTATTGCAAAGAATGCCCATTGGTACTATTAATTACCAACGGGCCCTCTTTGCAATGCACCCAATTACGTTGTTCCTTATATGAAAGGAAGTTTTTAACTGATGTGGAACCATAGCTAAATACATGCGTTTAATGACATATATTCAGGCTTGTGCCCAAAAATGAGAGAAATTATTACAAAGAGTGTCCTTTGGATATATGGCTCATATATAGGCCTTAAGATCCAATGGTCACTCATTGTAGTGTACTATAATGCCAAAATCCGCCCTTATTTAAAAGGAACTGCAGCAATACTTGTTACCGATGTGGGACAAAAAGAACCCATGAGTTTTCTTTATCCAAAAGCATGGTAAGTGTTTTGTTTGTTAAAAAGTTTGGTTTTCTTTTTCGTAATATTGAATGGTAAGGTATATGATCTTCCCCGTATGACTAAAAAGAAAACAGTGTTTTTGTGTAAGTTGAAATGCCACATGGGGTAATGCTGACTATGCGTCTAACTTTTGTTTACATCATGAGTTTACAAAAAAAGGATGTAAAAAGATGTAGAGAATATGAAACTTTATTAGCTGGGCCATAAACAGCCTATTTTGCATAACGACATAAAGAAATAAATTAACTTTCTTAATGATAGTACCTTTTGAGGTGTATTGCGTTCCATAGACGTGCAATTGGACGTCCATTAGCTTCGGCTAGTCGGTAAGCTCCTTTCCCTATCACTTCAGTAACTCTGTAGGGTCCGGTCCAATTGGGTTGTAACTTCTTTACATGGGTTGTTTCTTGCTTTAGCACCCAATCGCCTACCCCAAAGCTTCTGAACTGGACCCGCTTGTTATAACTGTTACGTAACTGTTGTTGGTATAAAGCGAGCCTAATTGCCGCAGTGTCCCTCTTTTCTTCCAAAAGGTCGAGGCTATGCTCAAGCTGTTAATCATTGTTTCCCTCAAGAACCAAATGTGTTCGAAGAGTAGGCACTGCTGACTTTGTGGGGATGACAGCTTTAGACCTATAGGCTATGGTAAAGGGGCTTTCCCCCGTCGGTATTCGTGAGGTGGTGTGATATGCCCAAAGTACTTGAGGTAGATTCTCGTACCACTTTGACTTGAGCTTTTCCAACTTTTTCTTCAGGAAATTGAAAATGGTTCAGTTAGTTATTTCAGCCTACCTATTTCCCTTTGGATGGCTAACCGCAGCCAAATTCTGCCTGATCCCATGCTCGGCGAAGAATTTTCTTGTGCTTCTATTGTCCAAGTTTGGACTATTATCCATCATGATAACCTTTGGTACTCCAAATCAACATATTATGTTATTCCATAGAAAACTCTTTACTTGATCATGGGTTACATTTGAATAAGCCTCTGCCTTCACCAATTTTGTGAAGTAATCCGTGGCTAGCAACACGTATTCCTTCTGCTCCATAGTTTTGGGTAAAGGACCGACCATATCAATCCCCCATTGTGCGAATGGCCATGGATTTGCCATTATATGCAAATCTTCAGCAAGCTGATGTTTCATTTGTCCATGTCACTGGCATTTATCGCATCTCCTGGCATACTCTTCAGCATTCTGAGCTAGGTATGGCCAGAAATAACCTTGAGTTAGGACCTTATGTGTTACGGATCTACCGCCGGAGTGGTTGCCACAATCCCAAACATGGATTTGCTTCAATATTGTGAGGGCCTCAGTGGGGCTTAAGCACTTCAGGTAAGGACCTGAAAATAACTTCTGGTACAACTGGTTATTGATGATGGAATATTTGGCTGCGGCGAGTCTGAGTTTCCTTGCCTCGGCTTTTTGGTTCAGAAGAGTTCTATACTTGAGGTAAGCTTCCAGAGGATCCATCCAACATGGCTCTCAAGGATTATCTGGGATCACCATTACCTCCTGCCGAGGGCTTATGCTAGGTTTGTCTTGGATGTCAATTGGTACTATCCGGACCAAATCTGCGTCTGAAGAAGATACTATTGCAGCCAATTGATCTGTTTCAGCATTCTCATCACGAGATACTTGGTAGAACTCAATTCGATCAAATCATCATATAGTACTCTCCACAGCCTCTTTGTATACTTTCATTCTTTCTTTGTTGGGCTGATACTTGCCTGTCACCTGATTCATAATAAGTTGGGAGTTACTAAAAACCTTTAGACACCTTACCTGGAGTTGGTTTGCCAACCAGAGCCCAGTGAGCAAGGCCTCGTATTCGGCTTCGTTATTAGTTGCAAGAAAAGTTAGGAAAATTGATTGTTGCAGCTTGGTGCCTTCAGGGGTTGTGATAAAGACTCCAATCCTGGCATTAATTAGGTTTGAGGAACGGTCTACCCGAAGCTCCCATTGTGGTTCGAGAGGGTCTGGCTCTTTAGGCTTATCTTCATACTCAAGGAGGAAGTCAACCAACACCTGTCCTTTATGTGACACCTTTGGTTCATAAGATATATCGAAGGAACTGAGTTTGATTGCCCACTTAGTTATTCTTCCAGATAAGTCTGGCTTGGAAAGAAACACTCGCATGGGGTAGTTGGTTAGGACTATGATGTTATGCGACTTAAAATAGTGTCGAAGCTTCTTCTTGGCATATACCAATGCTTGTATGATCTTCTCTGCTTTGTTGTACCATGTCTCAGCATCTGTCATTGTCTTACTTGTGTAGAAGATTGGATACTGATTCTTTCTATCTTCTCTGATTAGTACAGCACTTGTGGCTATGCCGGAGATTGCTAAATACATAATGAGAGTCTCACCAGGCTTCGACGTAGACAAAATCAAAGGTTCGGCCATGTAGCACTTCAATTGATTGAGATCTACTTGTTGTTGGGGTCCCCATATATCATTGTTCTTAGATCTTATTGCATCAAAGAATAATTTGCATTTATCTGACAACCGAGAGATAAAACGGCTAAGAGCTACGATTCGGCCAGTTAGAAACCTGTACTTCCCTGTGAGTTTTTGGTTCTTGATTTTGTATAAGGGCCTGAGCCTGAGCCAGACTTACCTCGATTCCCCTCTTATTGACTATATAGCCGAAGAACTACCCTGAAGAAACTGCAAAGGAGCACTTCGAAGGGTTCGGCTTCATGTTATACTTTCTCAAAGTGTCAAAGACTTCCTGAGGTGCTTAGGATGGTCCTCATTCTTCACACTTTTAACCACCATGTCATCAATGTAGGCCTCGACCGTCTTTCCTAATATTTCATCAAAGATCTTGTTAACGAGGCATTGGTAAGTTGCCCCAGCATTTTTGAGTCCGAAGGGCATGACTCTATAGCAGTAAGTACATTTCTCTATTATGAAGGCAGTTTTTTCTTCATCTTCTGGATTCATAGAGATTTGGTTATAGCCAGAATATGTATCGAGGAATGTGAGTCTCTCAAAACTAGTGGTAACGTCAACCATCTAATCTATTTTAAGTGGTGGAAAACTATCTTTAGGGCATGCTCTATTGAGATTGGTAAAATCTATGCACACCCTCCATTTTTCATTCTTCTTCTGAACTACCACCATGTTAGAGAGCCATTGTGGATAGTGCACTTCTCAGATGAAGCCTGCCTGAAGTAGTTTATTTACTTATTCAACAATAATTCGTATATGCTCAGGAGCGAACCTTCTGTGTCTTTGCTTGAATGGCTTGAACGCTGGATCCACCTTCAGGCTATGGCATGAGATTGAGGGATTAATTCCTACCATGTCTGAATGATCCCAAGCAAACGTATCTGCATTCCAACTAATGACATTAATTAATGCTTCCTTTTCTTCAATTGTGGGGAAGAGCCTATATAGGTGACCTTCTGGGGATTGCCGAGGATTACCTTAACAACCTTGAGGGATTCCTCTGTAGGCTTTATAGCTTCAACTTCGTCCTCCGCTTTCAAGTACTTGGGCAGAGGGCTCTGTAATTGCTATTTGGACATACGTCCAAGAGTCGCAACTGATTAGGACTGCTTGACTATCTTCTTTGTTTCATTCTGTATCAACATGTAGTATTCTTTGGCAGCGACTTGATCTCCCGAAAGATTAATAATCTCCTTGCCGTCCGGAGACAAACACCGCATCATTTGATAAAGGGTAGATGGAACCCCGTTCATTCGGTGGATCCAACCTCTTCCCATAATGAGATTGTAGGAAGGATAGATCTCTGTTAGAATAAAATTCTCATTTAATGTCCTTTTTGCTGCAGTAACGGACAAATTTATCACCCCAAGGGGGTCCACCTTCGTACCATCAAATTCCATCAAGGGACTAGAGGTGGGCCGAATTGATGATGACGGGATTTCTAGCTGCTCAAAGATCATCTTTGTGATAATATTAGCGCTACTACCTGGGTCTATTAAAACCCTCTTGATCATGCAATTTGCCACCAGAAGACTGATGACTAACGGATCCTTGTGGGGTAGTTGAACTCTGGATAAATCTCCATCACCGAACTCGATATGATACTGCCCGAAGCGATAGTGTTCACTAAGGATAACTTTCTTCGCTTATGGGCTGCCCTCAGTTTGGATCTATATACTTCCTCTGACTCTTGCTCATCTTCTGATCTCCTATGTATTGCATGGATGACCTTCACTTGATTACCTTCTACTTTCCGAGGATTGACCTCCCGAGGCTTCACATACTCCTTTGTTATGAAGTAGTCTGCCAATTCACCCCTGATTATCATGTTCTCCACTTGCTGCCTAAGGAATCTGCAATCATTGGTTGTATACCCGTAACCTCTATGGTAAGCGCAGTGCTTGTTCTTGTCCCTCTGCTCTAAGGGTTTCTTCATTAACTGAGGGGCTGTAAACCTCATCTTGTTTTCTTAGAATAGCCGAGCCAAAGAGGTGCGAAGAGGAGTGAACCTTTCCTCGGTCCTCTGCCTCTTCTCAGGTACCTGAACGACTGGTGTTGAGGCGTGCTGGCTTTTATAACTTTTTAAAAAAATTTCTTGAGGCTTATTCTCCACTGTGACGAGGTGGCATGCTGCGCTCGGTGGGCCACATTCTCCTCAAGTCGGATGTAGATTTGTTCCCTAGCATTGAGAGTCCACATATCCAGAGGGGAATATTTGACTAAGGAGGTATGAAGCTTGGTTCCCTAAATTATTGCAAGCTTAAATGTTTCTATTGTAGTTGTAGGGTGGCAATCTACTATTTTTGAGTCTTCCATGTTAAATCTGGACAAGAAATCCTGTAACATTTATCCTTTCGTTTGCCTTATGGTGAAGAGTCTAGCGATACTCTTCTTCTACTTCTTGTTTCCGCAGTACTATGCTAAGAACATAGTGCATAGAGTTTTGTAGTCTGGGATGGATTTGTGTGATCCATTCCTGAACCATTCCAATGCAGCTCCTATTAGGCTATTGGAAAAACCTTACACATGAATGGATCGTTGTGATCGTCCAGAGCCATCTTTTGCGTATAGTGATCGAGGTGATGAGAAGGATCTCATGTACCGTCGAACTTGGTAAATGAAGGCATAGTGAATTTCTTTGGTCTATCAAATGGAGTCTTTACTAGAGAATTCTTATGCTCTCTGGCTATCTCGGCAGGCGTCTAAATCCTCACGAGCCTCTTCTCATCGAAGGCCTCGTGAACGCCAACACCATCCAGAATGCCATTAGACTACATCGTAAGCTTATAACTAGACTTGGCATATTCGTCTTGCTTGTGATGAGGATGAGTGCCCAGAACGACCACTTCGGTCCTTGTCCTCTGCTCTTGTTGAACTTTATTCTACTGAACCCCGTTGAGCCGAACCTCATTAGGCTCTGGCTTGAAGTTCATTAATTGGAGGAATGTTTTGGTTGGGGGGAGGTACTGCCGCATCACCTGGTGGTGGCTGCGGTGCCTTCGGGGCTATAGTTGCTTGGAGGGCATCGTTTTGTTGTTGAAGCAATGCAATATGGGCCACGCTGACTTCGTTCGCTTGATGAAGCATCTCAAAGTGGTGCAAGAACTTTTCTCGCATCTTTTGCATTAACTCCATCTGTTGATCAGCCGTTGTTGTAGATCCTCCATTCGACATTACAAATGTTGTCATTTTTGTTAAGAGCTTCATTTTTGGTTTTGCTATGGGATTAGCAAAATGTAGGTTTGGGGGTGTGATAAGCGCTGAATATTGCATATTCAAGCACCCATATTTGCATTAGCTACGTCCATTAGTTGATCATATTGTATATATTAGCTTCATTTGCATGCTTTTATTTATTTTCAGGTTGGCTCCCCAAAGAAAGTTAAAAGAGACGTTTTGATGAGTTCTAGATAAATCAAAGCATGTCGTGGCCGAGCGCCTTCATTTTGGCCAAGCTAGTGATCCATTGAACTCATGGTTATCCCTGCAAAAAGTGCTAAGAGCAATGATCTTGTCGTCGGGCCGTGCTGGACAAGGTTGCAGCATTGCGGGCACCCACAAGGAGCTGCGGGCGCCCGCCAAATGAGGCAGAATCTTTGCAAATTCGGGGGGCCCCGCAGTGCCTCGAGGGCCCTCGGGAAGTGCCACCTTCGAGCCTTCTCGGCACCGCACGGGCGCCCGCCTGCGCTGCGGGCGCCCGCCAATCTGCACATAAGAGAACATAGCCCTTTTTATTTCACCTAATGTTATCCCCTTACTTGGGGGGATTGCTCTGCACTTGTCTAGGAGTTTGGACCATGAAAATTGAGTTGTTAGATGGCTATAGTTGATTATTAAGGGCTTGATTCAATGTAATAGAGATAACACATATTGTAAGGGGTTCTATAGAGAGAAATATTGAGTTATTGAGTGTGTGTGTGTACTGTGGCTTCTAGGTGCGAAAATGGAGGGTAAGATCACCTCTTCTCCTTCCTCCTTAATTTTGATTAATTTGGGGAATGATGTATATATTTGGCATTTTTACAATCTAGAGCTATACACATGTTGTAATGGATATTAATGTTTATAAATGATCATTTTGAGTTGATTATCTTGCTTTAGATTATTTTCTCTCATGATCATATGGCTTGTATTTTCATATTGACAATGGAAACAAGATTGTGAAAAGGTTTTTATTGGCATGTATTTGAGAACCTTGTTCGTCCATAGCTTAGGGTCCCCCTTTAATGGACTTTTCTTGATTCTTGGCTCTATGTGCTATCACCATAGTTATTGAGGGGTTTGATAATCCCTAGCTTAGTGAATATGTGAAGCTACACTCTAATTTAGGTAGTCAAGCATGTGTAACTTTGAGTGATTATGCTTAATTCTTGATTCTATGAAATTCTTGAAGATAGTGTAGTAATCCTGTGTTGCTACATATCATGGCCACTTATATATGTTGTTTCCCTAAGTAATCATAATCTAGCATGTTTATATAGTAGGCAGTGGATTCACTTCCCTAGTCCTCCCTACCTAGATTTATTTCCTCTTAATTTCCTTCAATTTATTGTTTTAAGCACAATTTAATTCCAAGTATCAAGTGATAAACCAAACAAAACTCTACACCCCCTTCATCAAACTAAGTGGTTTTAATGACCTTGGTTGCCATAAACTAGCAATCCCAATAGTTCGACTTACCCGAACAATAGCCCTATTTTACAATGATTTGTGCTATTACAAAGGGTTGATTATAATTGTAATTGGATCGATCGACGATCAATTTTTGGTGCCGTTACCAGGGATTGCAAACGGTTTTGTAACCGAGGCTTGAAAATCAACTTTGGTTTGATTTTGAATATTGTGTTTTGTGTATATTTTCTTGTTCGATTTTGATTATTATCATGTTTTAAGTTTTCTTGTGCGATTCTAAGGACTCAAGGCTGACCGAGGGAAAATTGAGAAAAATCGTAAGTCTAGAAGACTCCCGGTAAGTTTTTCAAAGTTCTAGTATCATAATTATGAATATCTTGGATATGTTTAATTTAGTGATATTTAACTTGTGGAGCCCTTATCGAGGCTATTCCTATTTTACTGTTTTACAAAGCATCGGTCCTTGTCAAGGCTATTTATTTTCTGTCTTGTTGATAATTGAGGAGAAAGGGAACATCGTAGGTGAAGGTTATGGTGAAGAATTGTTGTGTTTGTTGTGAATTATGTAGTTCATGCTGGGACATAACTCATTATCTTTGTCAACTCTTGAAGCCCCAATTGATATAAGTTCACTTGAAATGACTCTTAGAAGAAACCTTAGTGAATCTGAAAATATAAGATAAATTGAACTTGAATTTAATACAATGGCCGAAAATGAAGGAAATATAGGGAATGAGGGAATCCATAATGATAGGGCTAAAATTCCACATGTTGTACCTATGACACTTAGGGACCACTTCATCCCTATAACTTATGCCTCTCCTTCTTGCATAGTAATGCCAAACATCGAGGCAGCCCAATCTGAGATCAAATCTAGCACAATTCAAATGCTTCCATCCTTTCATGGCTTTGAAAATGAAGACCCCTATAACCATCTTGATGAGTTCCTTGAAATCTGTTCTACCATCAAGCTGAGGGGCTTCCTTGAAAATGCTCTCCATTTGTATCTCTTCCCATTCGCCTTAAAAGATAGGGCAAAATATTGGTTGAACTTCCTTGCTGCAAATTCCATCACTACATGAGCTCAATTGCAACAAAAATTCTTAAGAAAGTACTATCCCGTGAGTAAGACCAACCAAATGAGGCATTCTATTCTTAGTTTTTCCCAAAGCGATGGGGAACAACTCCATGAGACTTGGGAAAGACTTCAAGACCTCCTTAGGAAATGTCTGCACCATCTAATTCCAAAATGGCAATTGGTGCAAGCTTTCTATGCTGGTTTAATTGACCCACATAGATTCATGGTTGACTCATCATGTGGAGGGATGTTCATGTCTAAAAATGCGGATGAGGCTTGGACCTTACTCAAGAAATTGAGTGAAAACTCATTGCAACATAATTCTCGTAGGGCTCCAACCTCAACCAATACAAAGAACACCAATCTATGTCACCCAAAGACAATGAGGGAAGAATCTTCTCAAGTGGATGCCATAGCTCATAAATTCTATCAATTAAGGCACCACATCTCTCTCCTTTCGTGTCTCAAAATTCAGCAAGTGTGGTGTGTGCATCATGCACTAGCCCTTTCCATCTCTCAGAAGATTGCCCCACACCGGAGTAATTTCCTAGTAACAATCAAGAGCAAGCAAATGCTATGTTTTTCAGGCCCGAAAATAATCCTTACTCTAATACCTACAATCCGGGATAGAGAGATCAGTCGAATTTTTCGTGGAGGCAACCCGCCCCACAAAATTCAACATTTCAAAATCAAGGGCATCAAAATCAGCCTTCTTCTCAATTTCCAAATTGGCAATTTCAGGCCTCTTCAAGTTATCGTCCACCTTATAATCCAAATGTCTCTACTCCATCTCATGTGTTTCCAACTGATGAAATTCTCTCTGCAAATAAGCAAATGATGGAATCTCTAAATAAGCAAATGTTAGAATCTAATAAGCAACTATTGATATCATTGCAACCCACTCTCCAAATGGTTCATTCACATACTCAGTCAATAGCTAAACTTGAGAATCAAGTGGGACAAATAGCTAATTCAATGAACCAACTTCTTCAAAAAGATAAGGGAAAACTTCCCCACTCAACCATTTGAGAATCCTAGAGGGATGCATGTGATTGACGAAGCCCCTCCTCCGAGTGGGCCTACTCATGAATAAGTCTAAGCAATCACTACCCTTAAGAGTGGTCGAATTATGGACAACAAGGTTGATGGAAGAAAAGATGAACAAGTTCTTCCTCCCACAAATCCAAATTCTAGCTCATCTAATCCAAATTTCACTCCTAAAAATCCATAGTCTAGCACTGAAAATTCCA